CGTCCACTTCCCCCAGGACGTGGGGGAAGTTCTGCCAGAGGTTCGAGTTGAAACTGCTTCTAGGGGTGGTCACACGGCATACATTTGATCCGGCGCTGCACCGATGTATTTTGTTGCGATATATCTTACACCGGAGCAAATTTTGTGAAGCGTTCACACGTACAAAGCCGCTGAGCGTGTTAGCACTGGCACAGCGCCGGTGCAGCCCCACTTGGGTTCACACGGCAGTTTTTGCAGCGGAGCAAAACAATGGAAAACAAAGAGCTGTCGTGTTGGTTCTTTTTAAAACATATACAACTCAAGCAACTACTGTACAGGCGTGTCCTTCTCCTTCTCAGTCTCTGTGCCTTCTGCTCGAGAGGCGTTCAATGACCGCCCCCGAAAACGTAAATCAATGATGACTTCAATGACACTCAGAAAAGCAAACATATAATGCGCCAAACAGAAAGTCAAGAGAGGAAATCACAAAATAAATTCAATGGGGGGTTATGAACACACAACAGAGGAACAAACTACACAAACAACTCCGAGACAGTCCAGTCTCCTACAAAAGGAAAGATGATGTTTGGGGACTATTTCCCCCCCGTTCTAGTTGAGATGGTATAACCCAAGAGGCAAGATGCCGCTTGCTACTGTTATTGCCAGTTGCCATTCTACTGTTATTGCCAGCCACCATGTCTTGTGTCATTATTAGACAAACAGATGACGGAAGTACAACAGAGCACGAAAGCAACGCTTTCTAGTCGCATGTAATCAACTCTTCTCATGCGTAGCGAGGCTACTCCCCCCGCAAATGAGCATTTGCTCCGGAGCAAATTTTTAACCCTGTAGCGTTCACACGTACCATTTTACATCGGTGCTGCCCTGCAAATGAGCATTTGCTCCGGAGCAAATTTTTAACCCTGTAGCGTTCGCACGTACCATTTTACATCGGTACTGCCCTGCAAATGAGCATTTGCTCCTGAGCAAATTTTTAACCCACCTCCCTGAGGTGGGTTATAAATTTGCTCCGGAGTAAGCTGTTTTCAGGGTCTACACCGGTGTAACTTTCCACGTGTGAACGCTCTACGGGGGCAGCACCGGCGTAGCACCGGAGCAAATGTTGCCGTGTGAACACCCCTTCTGACAGAGGACTCTGCCAGACATTCCCAGCTAAACCTCACAACACGTTTGGGTCTGCTCGGACCGGCAATTGCTTCCCCCATTGGAGCCAACGCTCCACCAGGTGGTGATTGGTTGACAGCTCCGCCTGATCAGAACACTGTTCGGGTTCTGATCAGGTGCGCCATTCCTCCTGACCACGCCCATGTCCCTAGAACCAGTTTCTGTAACTGGGGATCGGTCTGCCAAGTTCCCCGCCTCCAGCTGCCACCCAGTTTTCTAATTATTTGGTAAAAAAAAAAAAAGCTCTGGCGCTGATGGGACAAAGAGCTTAAGTGCTTCAGTGATTACACTAATGGAAGAATGGTATGCTACAAGTCCAGTTCTTACTTGGTAGCTTTGTGATTATTAGTGTCAACATATCATCGCTTTAAAATGTTACCATTGGGTGAGTTGCAGAAAAGTCTGAGATAAGGTGCTGTCAATGCAAACTTTGAAAAGACCGTATTTTCCACACCAGAAGGCGCATCTCAAAGCATTCAATTTTCTCCAAAGCCGCTTTGTGTAACTGAGGATTGGATCGCCAAGTTCCCCGCTTTCAGCCGCCACCATGTTCTCTAATTATTTGGTAAACAAAAAAAAGAATATGTTTTACAATTTACATCCTTCAAAGTCGGCACCTTTTTGACACGATAAGAACTTTGCAAATCTGCTAATTTCTCAGTCAGCTTTGTGATGTGGATGATGCCTCATGACCGGGAATGACTTTCAGTTCATAGCTGTGCATTATCAAGAGTTCGTAGCGCCTGAACTTCTTGACTTCTTAATGTGTTTGAGACTGTTTGAGTTTTAAGGTGTTTCCAAAATTTTGACCGGTAATCTAAATTAATTTCTGGAACATTCATTCCTCAGTGAACTGGAGTCTATCCCAGTTGACTTTGACGATGGACCACCCCGGACTGCTCGCCAGTCAATCGCCGTTGTTAAGGTCCATCTTTTCTTTCTTTCTTTCCTCTTTTTTCATTAGCCTATCATTTTGGGAAAAGTAGTAGTTTCAAAGTTTGCATTGATAGCACCTGTCTCAGACTTTTCTGCAACTCACCCAGCGGTACAATAGCAACGACACGTTGACACTAAGAATCAGAAAGTTCCAAAGTAACTGTTGGAGCAGTTTTGTGTTGTGTTGTGTAATGCAATGCGGCAACACCACCGCTAGTGCAATTAATGACACAATCAGTTGGTGCAACCATATCACCAATGAATCCTGCACAGGTGTGTAGGAACACAGGTCGGATACCGTTTTCAATCGCACAAACGCAGGATAGACAGGAGATAAAAGTACTGAATCCCGCAGATGTGCGTATTATTATTATTTTTTTTTTTTACTCGACCTTGCGGCATGACATTTGCACTGAAAAGACTACGATGATGAATAACCCTTGACAGTTAGACGCCACAAACAAATCTCGCCATCAGCATCGAATCCTGTCAAAACAACAATTTCAACCCACGTTGAGTGCACATTGACAATTTGCTTCACCGGCATGTTGTTGAAACTTGCCAAAACAGTAACAACTGGACTTGTAGCATAACATTCTTACATTAGCATCGTCACTGAAGCACTTGTGCGCATTGTCCCGTCAGTGCCACAGCTTTTGTAATGTTGTGAGCTGACAAACGGCAAGCCAAAAGACACATTGGCTACTAATAACTGGGGGGAACACTATTTCGTGCAATGTGTTTTTTCTCAGATTAGACATAGCATTTTTGAATGCCAGAAGCTCCGTGGATCATAGTAGGCGACAACATGAAAAACATTTTC